AATTTTGACTATTCAACATTTATTTGGCCGATTGTTAAAAAATGGGCTACTTAATTTTATATGCTACATATGCAATGAAAGTCTGCGCACGCCTATGATGTTTATTATTATAATTCATTGATGCCTCTCAACTTTTATTCTTTAATCTAATTGTACACAAATGCACAATATAGTTATAGACGTATAGACATACCTAAATATACATGTGGCTCGATTGCTGCAATAATTAATCACATAAAATGATTATACTCGATATACATAACTCGATGTCACTAATTCACGGATGGGTGACCACTCGGGTTCTTATAGTGGCAAAAAACTTACCACACATACACGTGTTGCCGACCTACCATACCATCCCCAACAGTTAAAAAGCTACTTATAATACCAGGTCTTAGCCCCCTCAAAACGTACAAATAGAAAAATTAGCCTCCTCAAATAATTGGTCACTGCAGGTTACTGCAATAAATATTATGTTTTTTAACTTTCAATTCAAATATTGTTGAAACGCGAATAAGAAACATTAACAATTTTAGAGAAAAAAAAATAGGATGTTAAATACCAATGTCCATAGAGCACAGAGGCACGCAGCATAATAAATATTTAAGTATCAATGTATATATTGTATATTAATTTATTGTTTATATAAACGATATTAGTTGAATCTGATGACTGGTTTCAATCCGCAGACATCGATATCTCATTATTTTTTTGGAACTGCCAACTGCATCGCGTTATCGACGCTATCGCCTATTATTAATAATAATATCACAGACTATATAAAATATTATTTATATAATCTGTGATAATATATTATGGACCTAGGGCGGATAGGCCTACCAAGCAACCGGCTATTTTCGGGTGGGCCCCCCTTCGTATTTCGGTAATGGGACCCTTTTTAATATCATGTATTATTAAATTTTTTTCATGTAAGGGCCCCTTTTTAAAATTTTCCGGTAGGCCAAAAATGGACTATCCGCCCATCTATGGAACCTAAAAATAGACGAAATAGAAAATACCAATTGGTAAAATGTAAAATATTTGACAATTCGAAACACACAACAATGATATTTCTTCAACAATTGCATATTGCAACGTATAGTACTGTTAACGTAAGTGTCGAAGTGGATTGCCATACTAGATTTATTTGCAAAAAAATATTGATACATTATTTTAGAATAAATATTTTTTAGTTTCATTATAAAGAGTTTTCATTGTTAAAATTCAAGTATATGTATGAGTATATCAATATATTCATAGTATAGTATATCTATCTAAAATAAATCACGCTTAGGTTTTGCATACGATAATATAATATGTATTTTTTTTTTGGCTTTGATATGCAATAAAGTATTTCTAAATATCAGCCCCCTCTAAAATTATGGAGAATTTCCGCCTATGACTTTAGCCTGAAAATTATATCTGAAACTGTATAACTATAATTTTAAATATTATTTGACAAAATTATATCATAGAATAGTCAATATGAAATTTGTTATTTTGCTCGATTATCATCCAAAGATATTGAAAACTACCTTTTTATCTATTCGGCTACATTTTGAAAAATGTGAAGGACAAGTCACATTAAATGCCCCTCCCTTTACTGTATTAATCGTTTATTAGTACCTATATGAACAGTAACACCTATTTGTATTATTTAGTTTAATGATAACGTTATTATAATAGGATTTTTATCTTTTAGGCACAAATTATAAAGAAATAGTTACCAACACTCGAAGCTATCGTATAACGTTTAATACATTACAATATACGATAAAACTAAAAAGTCTACTCACTCCATAGCGAGAGAAAGCAAGGTTACCCACAGACAAATAATATTCAAGAGGGGTGTGTTATCAATATAATAATATGTGTAGATACTAGATACTATGTATGCAAATGAAAAACGTAATATACAAAAAATGCATACAATCGTCTAAACAATATATATACAAATATTGTGTTTTTATAATATTGCACGCAATGTTGTCTACGTAACATCCAGACGGACTTATAGTCCCCGGCCCTCGCTCCACTACACCTTATCATCAAACTTTTACAAGCGGCGTACAAGAGAAGGTCTATAATTATAGTCACGTTAAACGTTTTACTGTTTTAGTTTTATTATATTATATTTTTAGTCACTCGTCGCTCGTCAGACCGTTCGGACTTGCTTTTGTTCAAATACAGAATCTAACGCCAATAGTCGTAACTAATTTTTTTGTTTACTCGTTGACACATAGGTACTTAAATGTCGTGAAAATCCCCGTCAAGTTTATCGACAGTTCATCCAAGTTCTTGAGATCATATTCAAGCGTTATTCTTATGTTATGAATACTACGTGCGGCGTGCGCCCTCCGCAGATTAATAACATTTAGGTATGTATCGATGATTTTTAATTTCATACAAAACTGTATAGAATATTTTGACCCGATGTTACTCAAATATTGTAATACCACTAATATCTATAGATGCGATTTGTAGCGTTTATTTAGAAAAGCGGTTTTGGAAATATTTTCGTTAGATCGATTTTAAAAATATTTCATACAATGTGCTATATTATGTTCGTATGAAACGATAAGCATCATCGCGTGTAAATATTTTTACCCATATGATAATATTATGTTTCTCGGAGGATTACCACTAGGAATGGATACACATTATCAATTTTTAATAAGTGGTTTGTTGGAATGGCGAAGCCGTGAAGATGAAGTAGACTATTTCAGAAACCGTAATAAAAGCATTTAGCTCCTTCGTGCGAAATGTTCATACTGATTACTGACGTCTGACGACCGACTTTATTCTGAGATGTTTATGAAGTGTATGATTTGAAATAAAGGGATGAGCATAACATTTCGCATGAATCAAAATAGCAGTATCAAATTAAATAAGTAGTTAATTGTTTAAGAGCAAATTTATATATATGTATATATATATATA